CAGTTCAGTTCAGTTCAGTCACTCGGTCGTGTCCAACTCTTTGTGACCCCATGAATCGCAGCACGCCAGGCCTCCCTGTCCATCACCAACTCCCGGAGTTTACTCAAACTCATGCCCATTGAGTCGGTGATGCCATCCAGCCATCTCATCTACCATTACTTGCAGCCAAATGCCTCCCACCTGACTCACCCATTGTCACTTGCTTCTTGCGCCACTGCTTGGACCCCGTTTGTTCTCCTCTGCCACTCGTGGCTGCCTTCTTTGCTCACAGCACCGCATATTTGTCAAGGTCCTCGAATGCCAGCAGCAGAAGCCTGACTTAACAGTTTTGGGCAGAAGCAGATTTATCGTGCCTCAAAGAATCAAAAGGGGGCCACAGGGGCAGTCGTAGAAAGCAGGCAGGAGCCAAGCAACCCTGAAAGGATCCCCAGGGACTTCCCTGGTGGTCCAGTGGCAAGATTCCATGCTCCCAGTGCCAGGGGCCTGGGTTTAAATTCCTGGTCAGGGAACTAGATCCCACATGCTGTAACTAAAAGATCCTGCATGCCACAGTGAAGATTGAAGATCCTGTGTGCCACAACTAAGACTAGGCGCAGCCAAGTAAACAAGTACATATTTTTTTTTAAAAAAGAAAAGAACCCAAGCATCCCTTGCAACTCACATGCAGGAAAAGCCAGATCCATATTCCCTATCACTGCAGGACACCCTCCAGCCTTTCATGCTCTGCTAAGGTCCTGTACCCACCCCCACCCCACCCACACCCCCATCCCATGCACTTCTGTCATTGGGGGAGGGGGAAGAGCTCCTGCCAAAGAGATGCGAAGGAATGGTGATAATAGCAGGGACTCTGAGCTAGAAGGTATTACCCTCAGTTTACAGATTAAAATTGAGCTGTGGTTTCAGTGACTAGTCCATGGCACAGCAGTATCTGAACCCAGGCAGGCTGGCGCTCAGCCTGTGAGCATCCCCGTCAGGGTGATCAGAGGGCTTTTAAGCAGAGGGAGCTCGACAAAGGCAGCTGGAACGGGACCCATGTGCACTGGTCCCTGAGTCCCAGGGAGGCTGCAGGGATCACACACTCAGTCTGGGAACGTCACGGGGAGACGCAGCGGCACCTGCTCAGGGAGGGATTTGTGCAGAGAGACTGGGGCCTCGAGAACATCTGTGTGTTTTCACAGAGCAAAGCGAATTGGGGGTTTCTGACTGAGTGAGAACAAAATGCCATCAGCAAAGCCCATCTGTCAGAGGTGTTTGCATAAGCAAGTCAGGGTTGCTTCGCGGCCACTGTTTTTTTTCCCAACCAGCCCAAACGGGGCTTCTGAAGACTGATCCTCTGAACCCTGTCAGGCTGACCCCAGGACACGGCCAGGCTGCTAAGTGCTGCCAGCCTGGACCCCCAGCCTGGCCTGGGACCTGGGGCCCAGCAGAGTATGGGGCTGCCTTCAGGCCCTCATTGCGGGCAAAGCTGAAGACCAGTCATGTAAAGTCACAAGCCAGCAGCCTCTGCTCAAATTCGGCCCACATGCTGACTTTGTCAGCCCTCCTGGTGATGTGTGTTGTAACACTGTTGAGAGGTATTCTGTTGACTAGGAATACAGGCAAGTAATCCAAACAGTCGCCAGCAGTGTGCAGGGAAAAATAAGGCTCCTTCCCACCCCTTCTTCAAAAACGCAGATCCTGGTGATACACGGGCTTCCCAGGTGGCACAGTGGTAAAGAATTCACCTGCCAATGCAGGAGATGCGGGTTCGATCTCTGGGTCAGGAAGATCCCCTGGAGAAGGAAATGGCAACCCACTTTAGTATGCTTGCCTGGGAAATCCCACGGACAGAGGAGCCTGGTGGGCTACAGTCCACAGGGTCACAAAGAGTCAGACATGACTGAGCATGGGGATACATAGTAGCTCACATCCTTTTGGGGAGGAAGACGAGGGATAAATCAGAGAAATAAGTACTAAGGAAAATACCTGAAGCAGGGGAGGGAGGGGGCTGGGAGTGGAGGAAAAAGATACCCAATTTCCCTCCCCAGAGGCAATCACCATGAGCGGTTTCTTGAAAATCCTTTTAGAGGTCATCTCTGCATATTAATTTGTTGCTGTCATAGCTGCTGATTTTGTTTTTTCAAACTGGGAGATGTTGCATACAGTTCCAGACTTCCGGTTTGTCTTGAAAAACCCCATGATCAGGCATTCACATTCCTGCAAGGCTCAGTTGCAGGAGCTGAGGCCCACCTACCTCTTCAGAAGACACTTCTGCTGGCCAGGTCACCACAGCTTCACCTGGCCTCCATCTCCTTTAACCAGCCCAGCCCTGGGGAGTTTCCACTTTCTCACCCCTTCTCCACCCCCTCCCCTGTGTACCTCCCTGCAGCTTCTTCAGGAATGCTCTCGTGCTCTTGAGGAACCAAGAAGAGGGTGCCCTTTTGCTCCCCACTTCACACCTCTCCCCTCACCTCATTCTCATTTTCTCAGAGGTTACAGGCTCCCCTTAGGAGGCTTCCCAGGTGGCGCAGTGGTAAAGAACCCGCCAGTCAATGCAGGCTCGATCCCTGGGTTGGGAGGATCCCCTGGAGGAGGGCATGACAACCCACTCTAGTAGTCTTGCCTGGAGAATTCCATGGACAGAGGAGCCTGGCGGACTGCAGAGTCCAAGAGTCGGACATGACTGGAGTGACTTAGCACACATAGGCTTTCCTCACTGTTTTGCTCTTCATGCTTCATGCTTCCCGCTCGCTCCCTCTCTGCCAGCTAACTCCATACCTCTGGCAGGAGTTGTGAAATTCTTCCTGCACGTGTGTGTGCATGTGAGCACACACTCACACTCTCACACAGGAGGCCTTCAACTTCCTCACTCGGAAAGCACGCACAGTCACCGACCACAGTGGCTGTGTCCAGCTCGACATTCTAAGGGACGGAAAAGTTGCGGTCCCCTTGAGTCAGATGCTGACCCAGCACTCTGCTGCCCTGTAGAGAGTCGGTTCAGTTGGCAGGAGGAAAGGGCACAGCTGCTGGGCCAAGCAGCAGGTTTTGCCACAGGCCATGATCCACTTTCCCTTTCCTTCCCCACTGAGGGTTTCATTTTCCAGAAGCTCAAGGTGGAGACAAACAGAAGTGATCTTGCAGAAGACTTAATGTTGCCAGGCAGAAGAAGGATGAATTTCCCTTCCCCAGAGGTCTGCAAGTCAGGATGCACATACACATCAAGTTAGATAGAAGCTCTCTGTTCGCTCATTCGTACACTAAAAGAGTGAACGAGGGTCCCAGACACTGTTCTGGGAACTGGGGCTACATCAGTGAATAAGAGAGACACCCCTGCCATTCTGGAAGGGATCATTTAGTGGTGGAGATGGTCAGTAAATAGATAATGAGCAAGTAATTTCAGTTAATGGTAACTGCCAAGGAAAAAGAAAAGGGTGACAGAGAAAGGCTTTGAGGGTGGTTTTGGAAGGCTTCATTAAAGAGTGAATGTCAAGTGAGGGAACCGGCCTGGTGAAAAACTGAAGAAGTATTCCCCATGTATCCCGGATGGGGCTGGATGTGTTAGAAGAACAGACAAGACGACCAGTGTGATGGGATCTTAGGGCTAGGAAGAGGCATCAGAGAGACTGGCCAGTCCTGTGGGGCTGGTGAGCCAGCAGGAGCAATTTATATTTTATTCTAATAAATTAGAAGCTACTGGGGATATCTCAGTGAAGTAGTGATGGGAATTGATCTCCTGGCTCTCAGACTATCTAGTAATCATATAGATTTCCAGAGACAGTTCCTCCAAAAAATCCACCAGTGCTCATGGTGATTCCTCCATCTTTTTCAGTTCCTTTCTGGTGGGTGAGTGGTCAGGCGGACTGGAGAAGAGACAGACAAAAGCGCAGCCTCTGCATACAGCCACCAGTAGACAGGACTCATGGTGGGGGGCGCAGGGGAACATGTTCGGACACTCCAGAGAATAGCCAGCAGATCCTGAAAGTGGAAAACTCTGTGAGACAAGTGACCCTATTCCTTCCAGAAGTAAATATCATCAAGATGGGGAGGGGGAGGTGTAGAGTAGCAGAGACCTGAGAAATATAATCTGCCAGAGCAGAGCAAAGATATTGTCTGGATCCTGATTTGAGCAAACCACCTCTCAAAAGACACTCTGAGACGATGGGGGGAAAATGTAATTCAGTTGGGGTATTACCTGACCTTAAAGAATTCTTATGTATCTAGATGGGTGTGACAAAGATGAAAGTGAAAAAGTGAAAGTCTTGGTCACTCAGTCATGTAAAATTCTTTTGCAGCCCTATGGACTGTAGCCTGCCAGGCTCCTCTGTCTATCGGATTTCGCAGGCAAGAGTATTGGAGTGGGTAGCCATTCCCATCTCCAGGGGATCTTCCCAACCCAGGGATCAAACCCAGTTCTCCTGCATTGAAGGCAGATTCTTTACCATCTGAGCTACCAGAGAAGCCCCTATGATAAAGGTATCGTGGTTATTTTTTTTGAAGGCCTTATCACCTAGAGATACAAGCTAAAGTGTTTATAGGTGACATGGCCTGATGTCTGGGATTTACTCTAAAATATCCTGTCAAAGGGCTTCCCTGGTGGCTCAGTGGTAAAGAATTCACCTGCCAATGCAGGAGACTCGGGTTCAATCCCTGGATTGGGAAGATCTCCTGGAAGGAAACGGCAACCCAACCCAGTATTGTTGACCGGGAAATACCATGGACAGAGGAGCCTGGCGGGCTACAGTCAATAGGGTCGCAAAGAGTCGGACACAATTGAGAGACTGAACAACAGCAGTCCTGTCAGAAACAACGTGGAGGAGTGGGGGAACAGATGCAAGGAATGAGAAATAGTTAATGGTGTTGAAGCTGGTGAGATGGCTCATAGTGTTCTTCTCTCTGCTTCTGGGTACGTTTGAAAATGTCCATAATAAAAATTGTTTTTGTTTTTTAATAAGTTGAAAAAATAAGTCATTCTGTGGCAGCAGTAACCTCACATCTCACTTCCCTCTTTTTTCCCTTGACAGCATGGCAGGGAAGGCCCCCCTGCAGCCCACCAGCCCTCACACGTAACTGCTGCTCCCTGTGCCCTGCTGACCGACTCAAGTCTGGAGGCCCGGGGACAGCGCCTGCCTCGAGAGGTTGTCCAGGCACTGCTGTCCACAGCGATGGTGGAGAATTGGACTCCACAGGCTCACAACCTTCCCGTCAGGCTTCAGGGGCCAGCAGCCTTCATCCTAGGACTGGTGGCCCTGAACAATGGCTGAGGGCCAGGGGACCCCATAAAGTTAGTCTACAGCTTTCAGGGGCCAGCAGCACTCCAGTGCCCGTGGACTATGACCACCTATCGGCCCATCCCCAGTGATGGTGTGGACCTGGCAGCTGGCTGTGGGGCCAGGGCGGCCGATGTCCTGCCCGGGCCGCACACCGGGGACTACGCTCCCTTGGGGTTCTGGGTGCAGAACGGCAGCGTGCCCCAGCCCGTGGGCGAGAGCACGGTCAGCGCCGCCACCCGCCCCAGCCCCACCACCCCCGCCATGCCCAAGATGGGCGTGCGCGCCCGGGTGGCCGACTGGCCGCCCAAGCGGGAGGCCCTGAGAGAACAGAACAACCCCAGCCCCTGCCTGGACGCAGATGGCACGAAGGCCACGAAGGCGGCCCATGCCATGAGGAGCGTACAACAGAACGGACAGCCCCCCGCCGGTACCCCTACCCCGGCTTCCTCAGGGTCCAAAGCCTTGCACCGACTCGCCAGGAGGCGGTCTAAGGATGTGGAGTTCCAGGATGGGTGGCCGCGGTCCCCCGGCCGGGCCTTCCTGCCGCTGCGGAACCGCAGCAGCAGCGAGATCACCCTCAGCGAGTGCGACGTGGAGGACACGGCGGAGCCCCGGGCGGCCCGCCACACGGGGGCGCTGCCGCTCTTCCGCGAGTACGGAAGCACGTCCTCCATCGACGTGCAGGGCGTGCCCGAGCAGAGCTTCTTCGACATCCTCAACGAGTTCCGCAGCGAGCAGCCCGAGGCCCGGGGCACGCCGAGCCTCACCGAGCTCCTGCGGGCCGATCCCGGTCCCCACGTCTCGGGGGGCGGCGGCGGCGCAGCCAAGGGGGAGGCCCGCAACGGGCAGCCCGCCAAGGACAGCCTGCTGCCGCTGCAGCCCCTGAAGGAGAAGGAGAAGTCCCGTAAGAAGCCCGCTCGGGGCCTGGGCGGCGGGGACCAGGTGGACTCGTCCATCTTCCGGAAGCTGCGGAGCAGCAGAGCCGACGGCGAAGCGGCCCGGTGCTCCGGGGAGGCCGAGGACGGCCGGAGCCCCCCGGAGGCCAGCCGGCCGTGGGTCTGCCAGAAGAGCTTCGCCCACTTCGACGTGCAGAGCATGCTGTTCGACCTCAACGAGGCGGCGGCCAACCGGGCGTCCACGGCCCAGCGGCGGAACACGACCACTGGGGCCTCGGCCGCTTCGGCCATGGCGTCCCTGACGGCGTCGCGGGCCCACAGCCTCGGCGGCCTGGATCCCGCCTTCACCAGCACGGAGGACCTGAACTGCAAGGAGAACCTGGAGCAAGACCTGGGCGACGACACCAGCAACGACCTGCTGCTCAGCTGCCCGCACTTCCGCAATGAGATCGGCGGCGAGTGCGAGCGCAACGTGAGCTTCTCGCGGGCGGCCGCCGGCTCCCCAGGCGGAGGCGGGGGCAGCGGCGAGGTCCGCCCGCCGGAGCCCACCCTGAGCGCCTACCGCACCAACGCCAGCATTTCAGTGCTGGAGGTGCCCAAGGAGCAGCAGAGGACGCAGAGTCGCCCGCGGCAGTACAGCATCGAGCACGTGGACCTGGGCGCCCGCTACTACCAGGACTACTTCGTGGGCAAAGGTGACGTGGGCGGGCGGGTCGGTTTGTGGAGCACTGCTTGTTTCTGAGACGTTCACTGCTCATTCCTTCTCTGTATGCCTCCTGCCCTAGCAGGGAGGATGCAGAAAGAGGCAAGACCTCCTACAGAGAGGGGCTGGGGGGACGCACTGAGCCCCGCCTCATGACACATGCTTCACACTTTGAGCTGTAGGAGACAATAGATAGAAATGTGTGCTGCGTTCAGCTACGTGTCAGGCACTTTCTAGAGCCAAGGTATACAGTATTGACCAGCTTAAAGCAAAAGCCTTGTCTTCCTAGCTTACAGTGTCTTAGTGGGGTAAGACAAGCAGTTATACTAGATAAATATATAAAGTATATAAGGAGTCATGAGTTGGGAAGTGCAGTAGAGAAAAGTAAAACAGAGAGTCGGGGAAACTATCGGTATTGGGGGTTGCGTTTTCAATAAGGAATGGTCAGGGAGGACTTTGTAGGTGGGTCCCCTTTGAGTACTGGGCTGAAGAAGGTGAGGGGGGGAGCCTTGTGGAGATTGGAGACACTGTTCCTAGCAGGGGAAACAAGTACAAAAGTCCTGAAACAATGGGGGAATAGGATGGAGGCCAGTGTTGCTGGGACAGAGTGTGTGATGGAAGGTGAAAGGAGACAAGATCACATGCGATTTTGTGAGCCTAATCCTCACAAAAGTGAGGACTCTCACTTTTACCCGAAGTGAAATGGAGCCACAGGGAGATTCTGAGCAGGAGAGGGCCTTGATCTGACTCAGGTGTTAATAGCTTCCCTCTGGGGAAGGAAGCTGTAGGGGCAGAGGAGCAGGGAGACCCAGGAGGAGTCTACTGCAATAGTCCAGGCAGGAGATGGTGATGGGCAGGTCTAGGATGGGAGCCCAGGAGTGAAGAGGAAGCAGGCAGGTTCTGGATCCCCTCGGAAGGTGGAGCTGCTGATGTTTGGAGGGTGTTAACATGGGGATCACACATGGTTAAACTCACTGATGCTGATGAGGCAATCCTCAGAGGCAACAGAGCATAGTGCAAAGATCACAAATCCAGGCAGCCAGAGAGGCCAGGCAGGAGACAATAGAGGGAGGCAGGCCAGGCAGGGGCTGTGCAGAGGGGAACTCCTGTTCACTGTTGTCATCCAGGAAGTGTAGACAAACCCAATGTTGCCATCCTTTCTATAATTAGATAATTATAGAATATAATTATCTAGATAATTCTAGATTCTCCTGAAATTCAGATTTTTTGAATATGGATTCTCCTATGTCAATTCAAAATTGCTGTAATTGCCAGTAACAGGCTTAAACAACATAATTTATTTTTCTCTGCATAAAAATGTCTAGAGATGTGCACCTCGGGTATGGTTACTCCTCAGCATCAGTGGAATGCCAGCCTTGGTGCATTAGCCTCCAAGCCCTCAGAGTGATCTCCTGATGCTCATGATGGCTGCATATGAGTTCCAGCCATCATATCCATGTTTCCAGGCAAAGAGAAGGAGGAAAGGATTCAGACAGAATAACAGATTTCCTGTCAAGTCAGCACCCCTCCCCTACCTTTTTATTAAGTCAGCCCCTTTTAAGAAGAGCATTCTCAGAAGTCTTAGCCAACTGCTTCTGTTTATTGGCCACTCCAGTCTGCAAGGCAAGCTGGGAAATGTTGGTAAGACATAGACTCTCTTTTCTTCCTCCAAGAACAGAGAATTTCTCTTAAGAAGGGAAGAATAGGTAATGAATAGGCAGCTAGTACTCCACAGCAACTAATTTAAAATTTTTTGTAAATCAGTATCCTAGTCAAACGCAACTAATGTCATCCCTCTGAGTTATCCCTCTGTCTAGAGTACAGTCTCTGGCGCTCCACCAGTGTTGGAGTCAGAAAGCCTTGGGCTTGGGATGTATGTTTCATAGCTTATTAGCTATGTGACACATTTTACCCCTTGGATTCTGTCCTCGTGTGAGGAACAGAGATGATTGTAGCAGCATCATGTGCCCAGAAAAAAAAGTGACACAGAGATTGGAAATTAAAGGATGAAAAAAGAAGTTCAGACAGTGCTAATCAAGAGAAAGCTGGTAAGGCAACATCAGTATCACACGAAACAGACTTCAAGGCTAACAACATTTGTTAGAAGAACCAAAAGGACCGTTTCATGTAGATTTTTTAAAAATTTACTAAGAAGCTCTAATAGCTGTGTACCTGGTAACCTGGTTGAGGGGTATATAAATAAAAAACTAATATGGCTACAGGAAGACATGAACAAATCCACAACCCATGGGAGAAGTTAGCAGGGTCTCTGAAATGTATAAACCTAGTGGCCAGAATATTCTGCTGAGGGGACTTGAAAAATCTGGTTTTGCATTTATATTAATTTTCTACCTAACCAGCAGAGGACACATTCTTTTCATTTAACACATAGCAATACCTACACGGAAGGTCTGTGGTAAGGATCAAAGAAGACTGTACATCAAAACACTCAGTTCTTCATCAGGCATGTAGTAAGTACTTATCATGGAGCTTTCAAAAGAGCTGTTTTCTTTCAAAAAATAATTTCTTTGTAGCTCTGGAAGCTCAGAAATGTTAGTCACTGGTCAGTGTTTATTGAGTGCCTAGTCTATTCTAGGACCTCAAGGACCTAGTCTATTCAAGGGTACTGGGTATACATTGGTGGAAAACAGAATAGCCCCTGCCAGTGTTTTGGGGATAGATTGATATCTGTGGAGCACATTTATTCTGTTCTCTGACCAGTTGTGGAGATTGTCTAACCCACTACAGGTGCTGTTCTGATTGGGACCATTAATTAACGTTATTTGAGCTTTAGATAAGCCTTTAATTCACCAAGAGCATCTCATGAGACTAGGAACCCTCTTTTAAACATGGAAAGCACTGGAGTGGGAAGAAATTTCTGGCAGTGTGTAGATGCCGGTTTCATGGACTGAAGCTGAGACAGACTGCTGGTGGGCATGCACCAGAAGCAGGAGATACTTGAGTTAGACACAGGAAGAACTGTTTGCCTGGAAAGATTGTAAGACAGCAGCATTTTTTTTTTTTTTTTAAAGCAGAGACAGCTGTCATTTCGGAGAGAGAAAAATGACTTCCTCCATGACTCGTTAAAGCTCAGTCACCATAAGGAAAAAAAAAAGAGTAGCGTTGAAGTTTCCTCCATCTATGGGAGCATGGCTAGGTACAGGTGATGCTTAGGGACTTGAATTATGGTCCTGTTCTTTGATGAGCATCATGCCCTGAGGGTAGTAGTAGCCAACACATCTCACTTGCTCCCTCTGTGCCTGGCTCTGTGCTCCACACTTACTAACCTATTTAATCCTCACAGTCATGGTGAGATGTGGATCCATCCTTCCTGATCCCATTATATTAATGAGAATGCTGTCAAGTGACGTGGGCCACATCTGATGAGTCCAGGGCCCAGATTTCAGCCAAGCAGAAGACACTTTAGACTACAATCTTACTTTTTTTTTTAAGACTAGAATCTTAACAGCTTCACGAGGGCTAATTGGCAGCTAAGCTGCTGAACATTTGCAAATAAGAGGTAATCACAACGAGAGGCTAAGTTTATTACAAGGCAGGCACTGCACTAAGCTTTTTTTTATTTGTAGCTTCAATTCAGTCTCACATCACCTCTTATGAATTGCGGGTAGCGGGTAGCACTAGGGCCCACTTTATCCTGGATGAGAGCATGGAGACTCAGGAAACTTCTGTGACTGGCAGGAAGGTGCAGTCAGGTGGGCTTGACCTCTCATGGTCTCTCCATCGAGTGTGGCTGTGACCAGGACCCCACAGGGCACACAAGAGCCTTCCTCGGCTGTCCCCTCGGCAGGCCTGCCGTGGGACGTCACCCCTCCTTCCCAGAGAACTGACTCTGAACTCCCTTGCTCTTCCTTCTCAGAGCACGCCAATTACTTTGGGGTGGACGAGAAGCTGGGGCCAGTGGCCGTGAGCATCAAGCGAGAGAAGCTGGAGGACCACAAGGACCACGGGCCTCAGTACCAGTACAGGATCATCTTCCGGACCCGAGAGGTAAGTCTCGTCACTCATGTTACTATGACATACGTCACAGCCACTCACATCGCTGAGCCCTTACTCGGTGCCTGGTTCTGTGAGCAAGCGCTTCCCCTGCTCCACCTTCTTTAGTCCTCCCCACAGCCTCACAGGAGCCATCCCATCAGTCTCCCCATTTTACAGACGAGAAGACTAAGGCTCTGAGACATGTATGAATCAGTGGCCAAGATTAGAATCTGGTGGGTCTGACCGCAGAGCCCTGGATTCTGACATTTACAAAAGGTTGAAGGAGGTGAGCATAAAAAATAAAGTGAGAACCATAGGCAATTCTTTCAGGATCATGAGGTGTCCTGCAGAGTGGAAAGGTGAATGAAGGCCGCAAGTCTCAGGCAGGGCAGGAATTGGGCACTCTTAGGAGCAGACACTGCTGTTGATGGGCTCAAAACATCCCAGCCCTGCCTCTTCCATTCAGAATAGAGGAGCCCCTTTTCCCGGCTTGGTCCGAGTCTTCCCCTGGAATAAAGGTCAGCTGTGGCTAAGGAACGAGGCCTGTTCGGGGCACCTTATGTGATTAGGTCTCTAAGTTTTAAGTGGCAGATAATCTACTTCTGTCTGGGGTTTTTTGTTTGTTTGTTTTTATTAGTTTGGCTCGCATAGACACAGGAGCCTGCCAGGCTCATTGCAGCTTGCGAGATCTTTACTTGTGGCATGCAAACTCTTAGTTACAGCATGTGGGATCTGATTCCCTAACCAGGAATGAAACCCAGGCCCCCAGCATTAGGAGGGCTGAGTCTTAGCCAGTGGACCACCAGGGAATTCCCAGTTTCTGCCCACTTTAAGCCAGGGGTAGAATTCATTGGCTCATGAAACTGCAAGTCCAGGGGTAGGACTGGCTTCAGGCATAGCTGCATCCAGGCACTCAAATGATGTCACCAGAGCTCTGTCTTCCTATCTCTTCCACTCAGCTGGTTCTGCCACTTTTTGTATTGTGGGTTGTCATTCTCTTCTGCGACTAACAAGCTCTCTCCACGTCATGGGAAAACAGACCAGCTGCTCAAGTCTTCTACATCTTTATACTTTCTCCTCCACATTCTTACCTGCTGGAGATCTGGGAAAACTCTGATTGGCTCTGCACGGATCACAAGCCCACGCCCCAGGCCAGTCACTGTCATCACGGATGATAGAGGAATGCTCCATCCTGGGTCCCGGGGCAGGCAGGGCACTGTGACTGGTGGTTCCGTCAGAGCCACCTGGCAGTGCTCGAGAGGCAGTTCCTCAGCAAAAGGAGAAGAAGCTAGGCCAGCAGAAACGAAGGAGACTTCCAAAAGACCCAAAGGAAGACTTTTCAGAAAAGAGGCAGTCATCAGCTGGGCTTCCCAGGTGGCGCTAATGGTAAAGAATCTGCCTGCCTGTGCAGGAGACATGAGAGACGCAGATTCAGTCCCTTGAGTCTGGAAGATCCCCCGGAGGAAGGCGTGGCAGCCCACTCCAGTATTCTTGTGTGGAGAATCCCATAGACAGAGGAGCCTGACGGGCTACAGTCCATGGGGTTGCAAAGAGTCAAACATGACTGAAGCAACTTCGCACTCATGTCAGCTGGGCAGACCCCCAAAGTTGACCTCCCTCCCCACATACATTACCCCATCCCCCTTGCTCCTGGCAGACATGGGAACCAGCAGGCAGCCGCTGCCAGGGTGTTTGGCTGTGGGGCAGGCCAAACCTGGACCTCATCCAGACGGCAGATGCTGCACCGAGGGCCGCGGCCCCATCCCCTCACGAAGACCTTCCCACTGAGGGGGAACGAGAGGACACAGAGGCTTTGTGGCAACGCAGGGGAGGCAGCCCCCAAAACTTGATGTCCATCCCACAGGTGCTCACCATCCCCTCTGTCTCCCTAGCACTGCCCCCCCACCCTGCCTCTCTGGCCAGATGAGCGCCAGGGCAGAATGTGAGATGACAGCTCACACTGCGTCAGAGTGTTGTTTGACATATGGAGAGCGGCCAGGTGAAGTGACAGCAGCAATCATATACTAATAAATAATATTGCAGCTGCTCTTATATTGCAGGTTCACGTCACACTGTGTGTCAGGCATTTTCTATACTTGTTATGTACATTCACTCACTTAAATGTCATGACAGTTCTACAGTGAAGGCACTATAATCTTCCTCATTGCAATGATGAGACAGGCACAGTCAGGGTAGGGGACTTACCCAGAGCACCCTCAGTGGGTGACAGGACAAGGTGTCGGCTCAGGCCCCAGCCACCCCTTGGCCGCCTCTGGGGTTCCTCTGACTCAGCTCAGGCTGTATGTACATCAGACCCATTCATGAGTTATGAACTCCATTTCATGCCAGTGTTTTATTGTTTGTCTTTTTTTTTTTTTTCATGAAGACAGAACATGTAGAATGATTTTTTTTTTTTTAATGTACCGGACTTTGCTTTTTTTGTTTGTTCTTTTGTTTTTGGGGGATTTTTTGGCCATGCTCTGTGGCTTGCAGGACCTTAGTTCTCTGACCAGGGATCGAACCCAGGCCTCAATAGTGAAAGCACAGAGTCCTAACCACTGGACCACCAGGGACTTCCCCCAGAGTTTGTTGTTCACACTGAGAGTCGTGGAAATGCTTGGTCAGGGTGTAATATTTTTCTGTGGTTCCTCTTCAGTAGGTTTGAAACTGACTTGGTGCCTTTACTGGACTATGCCTACTTCCACACACTTCCCACCCCCAGTGCCTGTGAAAACTAGCCTCTGAGCGCCCCCAGGCTGGACGTAGGGTCCTTGGAGCTCAGGGACGCAGGTGTGGAGTTCCTCCACTCGACAGAGATTCTCTCAGCACCGCCAGCAGCCAGCCCTGCACTGGGCACTGAGGAACCTGCAGTAAATGCAGCAGAGATGCTCATGGGACCGTGGGGAGGGCAGACAATACGTAGATAGCCTAGTAAATTATACATTGTGGTATATGATGACAAGGTGGAGCAGAAAGCGAGGAAGAGATAAGTGTGGGTGTGGTAAGATTTTTAGACAAGATAGTCAAGGGTGGTGTCACTCAGAAGAGAACATTTGAGTAAAAGGCCTAAAGAAGATGAGAGAAGGAGCCGTGGGGACCTGTGAAGAATGCTCCAGGTGGAGGGAGCAACCTGTGCAAAGGTCCTGAGGCAGGAAAGTGCCTGGTACAGTCACTTAGTGGTTGTGAAACCTTGGACGATTTCTCTCAGAGCTTCCGTTCCCTCCACGGGATCCCAGTCTCTCAGGACTGTGGCGTAGGCTTGGTGAGGTTGCCCATATAAAGTAGGCAGTGCTGGGCCTGGCCCTTGGGGAGAGCCCACAGTTAGCCTTTGGCAGGGGTCTCGGTTTCCCATCCCTTTGTCACATTCCAATCAGCCCTGTTAATTTTGGCCCAGCGTGAGGTTCACAGCCACAGATGGGCCTTTCTCTGACCTCACACATGTGCAGGCCACATGGGTATTCAGTCCTGGGCCCAGCCCCTCACAGAGCTGCCTGTTGGACACCCAGGCCTGAGGACCTTGTCATCTGGAGGAAGGGGCAGAGGCCAGCAAGGTTTGCCTTGCTCCTTCCAAAGGCCCTTCCTGGGACTTACCTGGGGGTCCACTGGCGAAGACTCCACACTCCCAATGCAGGGAGCCTTGGTTCGATTCCTGGTCAGGGAACTAGATCCCACATGCCACAACTAAGAGCCAACACAGCCAAGTAAATATATTTTTTAATAAAAAAAAACAAGCAAAGGCCCTTCCTGCCGTGGCAGCAAAGGAGTCACATAACCCAAAGTAGTAAGGACAATAGTAATAAGAACAGTTACCACCTGTAGTGCGTACTCCTGACGTGCTGTTGCAAGTGTTTTATATTCACTGAGCTTTCACATCCTCTCGGTAGTCCCTTGATGTGGGTTCCGTGATCCCCATTCTACAGATGAGGATTTTCAAGGTCTAGGGAAACAATCACTTGTCAGGGTCCACAGTGGCAGAGCCAGGATAGGAACCCAGACTGCCTGCATCTCCAGTCCATGCTGTTAACCTCTAACCACTCACCACTCGCTGTGGGGCTGAGTTTGAACCCTGGCCCTGTGAACAGACAGCGTGGGGTTCGGTTGAGCTCTGCCACTCACCAGCCTTGTGACCTTAGGCAGACAGTTTTACCCCTGGACGCCTCCATTTCTTCGTCTGTAAAATAGACCTGTACTGTCTGTGTGCTGTCTCCAGGAAAGGCTGGAAGGTTCCCCTGGACCCGCACACGGGAGTTGGTAGCACACGGCTGCAGGCTAGCGAGTGCTCTGAGCGGAAGGTTCTGTGATGACGCTGAGGTTGTGGCTGTCCCTCTTTCCCGAGAGGTCAGAGGGCCATGCTGGGGAGTGAAGGTCAAGCTCCCAGACAGAGTTCTTTCTGTCCTTCTCCTGTCACACACTTGTGTCTCGGGGGCCAGAACAAGGGGCCCAGGCTGTTTTCCAAGCCAGCTGGCTGGCCCACCCCAGATGGCCGCCCCCGGCCACCAGGGAGACAGACTGGGCCCACGTCTCCCAGCAGATGGGACAGGAGCGTTGGCAGTGCCAATCTTCCCGCCAGGGCGGGAACAGACTGGAGCTGGGCTTCGGCACCACACACCAGAATGTCATCCTCACCCTCCCTGAGCCTGGACAGGACAGGCTCCAGGTCCAGGCCAGGGCAGCCCTGCCCTGAGCCCCTGGCTGGCAGGACACAGAGACTGCCAGTAGCCAGGGGCCCCCAGGCCCAGTGGGTTCTCTTTGGCTCCCAAACACGAGTTTTTGACAGCCTTAGTTTGGTTAGGGTTAGAGGTTTGGATTCTTTGTCTTTCTTTATTGAAAAAAGTAGCAGTCACTCATTAAGTATTTAAACATATACACAGTAGAAAAGAATCTTGTATTAAGTGCAGAAAGTAAGGGTAGTAGTGAACCTCATTTGGGACCTCACTTGTGTTCAGCTGGTACCTCTGTTGGTGTGATGTAATCTCCAGAACATACTGTTAAGTTAGGGGAAAAACCAAACT